AAATAACTCTATTAAAAATTATCCAAGGAGTTTCAGAGATTTTTGAAACCAAGGAATCAGCAAAACAAATCAAAACACATGGATTCATAACAGATATGAGAAGACAGGAGCAGGAACTGTGACCCTGCCAGATGTGGCCTCTCAGCACTGTGGGCTGCTCCTGGGCTTTTCAACATTACAGACATCCCCAGCTGCTGCCACATCTCACCCACACCCACCCTCCAGCATGCTCCAGCACCTCCACCCTCAGGATGTGAGGTCATCTCCTGGGGCTATTACCCATCCCTGGAAGGGCAGCCAGGGCACTCAGGTCTCCTAGAGCAGCGTGTGCAAGGAGGAATTCTCACATGCCCAGAAGAGGTGGGCCTGATACCCCTGTCATGGACTGTGGTTGTGGAGAAGCACCTGCTTAGGATTAATAATAGAAAAGGGGATGTAGCAAACATAGCATACAAGGTTGGAAAGGTGTTACAAGCTGCCCCAGAAGGTGAGGGTAACCTGTTACTTAAAAGTGAAAGACTTTCCAAAAAAATGGTAAAATAATAATATAAAGAGCAGTTATTTAAGGAAAGCTTTCAGGTGCACGAATAAGCTATGTGCACACCCAGGATTGAATTTCTATAATTTTTATAAAAGATTAATTAATTAGTATATCTAGCAGGTACATCCAATAGGAGAACAGTTGCCTTGGCAACCCCCCTTGGGCCTGCCTCTTGCAGTCTCCAGGGACTTTTAGCCCTTTGTTTTTTATGTCTCACAAGTGCTGATACAAAACATGGTGTCCTTGTTAGAAACTCTGTTCTTGAAAACAAGACTAAATAGAATTCCATGAAAGTGGCGTAAATTGTGAGGAAGGTTAATCTAAAGTAATATAATAATATAAAAGCATAAAAGTAATACTGAAGAAAATGTATGAGGAAAATGAAAGAAAAAGTAAAAGTAGAAAGATGTCACCACCTGTGCACCTTGCAACCAGCCTCGGTTTCTGTAGTTTCAATGTCTGTTTGTTGAAGTGGTGGCCAACAGGCTGGATCTGTCAGATACTGAGAGAAGTCCACAAAAAACCAAGGTTACATGCATTTTATTAGCTCAGGTTCAGTTGAAGCACCTAGGTACCCCTCCTGGGGCAGAGAATTGCATACTGATGTAATGCTGATGGATCACTTCGGGAGTCCATGACACCTCCCAGTATTCTACAGGTGCCTCTCCCATCAATGTTCTTTTATTTCTCCAGAGGGGAGTTTTCAAAGCTGAGCCATTTGTGTAAGGACTTTAGCATGACAAAAAGCATTATCCTGCCTTGCAGGATCTGTCTGTTATCAGTCTCTTCCCTTATCTTGTACAACACCAGCTTGCAGCCTGAGGTGGTGGTCCTCAGCTTGCACTGTGATTGAGACAGTAACATTCTAGTCTCTCACATTTGTGGATACATTCTTCTCCCCAACCTTGTTTGCTTCTCTTTAGATCTGGGATGAGTGGAAAACAGCATCACCTTTATCTCATCTCAAGTTCCATCAAGACCAAATTCCAGTTAGTAGGCATATTTGAGGAGGGTGGGCTTTAATGGTCACAGACAAGCAGCTGCTTCTTTGCAGGATTTCCTACAGTGGACAAAAGTCCTCTGCTGATCTGATGTTTAAACCATTATGAAATTATTTTCAGTCTGTCACAAAAGAACTTCAGGGATCTTCCAATCCAACCTTTCTTGACAAAAGCAGATTCTAGACAAGATAGCCCAGCACTCTGTCCAGATGAATCTTAAAAAGTGTCCACTGATGTGGAATTGACCACTTCCCTGAGGAGATGATTTGAATGGCTGATTGTTCTCTTGTCAAAAATTTGCTTTGTTTCAATAGAAATCTTCCCAAGAGTAACTTTTACCGATCAATCCTCATCTCTTTCATGTGACTTTGTAAAAGGAGTCTCCATTTCCTTTGTAGCTATCCCTTAAGTACTGGAACCTGGTGGCACTTATTTATGTATCATATTTTGCAACTGTCTGATAATGTGGTATATCTCCTGCATTGCTGATATTTATCCTAAATTTATAGTTCATTGATGATTGGTTAATTATGTGTTGACAATAAATCAGTGCATCACTTTGATCTTTGGATCCATGTTGATTGGACTTCTTTCACAGCCACAATGTTCAAGCTATCTGACTGAAGACTATCTTGCATGAATCACATTAGCTGTGGAAATATCCCAGCTGCATTGCAGATATTTCAAGTTGGAAGGACTCTAAATATGTTGCTATTAAAGCAAAAAAAAATTACACAAATGAAATATTTTCAGTTGATGATTACCTACATTTATATGAAATATGGCATATAGAGACGTGTGTAGTTATGTATTATTTACCTAAGATGACGCTGGTAATTTGATTTGTTTTTCAGACAGAAGAAATATCCCCTACTTACTTAGACTGTATAGACCTATTTGTCGCATAGGCAGATGCACTTCCTCTCAGTAAGGTTGGTATTTTGAAGATAATTTAAGAATTATTGATGCAGAAGTCCAATTCAGACTAACAGACTGTTCCAACATACACTATGCTAAAGGACTGATTTTATAAATACATGCAATGGGAAATTCAAGGCATATGGCCAAATTCATGCATCTCATAGTTCAGGCCTTGAAATCTACAGAGGATTCAGCCTAATGAAGACTGGCAGTGTCACATTGTCATGCTGCTCTTCCCTGCTCTCTTATCATTGTTGTTTTTAACATTTCTCTGACATACTAACACTTTTACACTTGCCAGAATGTTCTTTTGAACTTTAAGAGATCATGAAGCTGGCATCCTGAAGAGCTCAGTTTCTCTCCAGCTTTTCATTACTGCAGAGGAGCCAATGATGTAATGGAGACAGGGACAGAGCAAAAGCTGCCATATTTTCATTCCTCCATTAAAACCACCTTATTTACAATACTCTACTAATGTAATTTAGCTTGGAACATGATCAAAATTAAACTGCACGTTTTGAATTAAAACTTAGGTTTTGGTCATGTTCCAAACAGAACTACACTAACAGGGTGCTGTAATACTGCAGTGAATTTTAAATGATACACTAGAATATAATGGTCTTTTCCTTTGCTCTGCTATGAGCTGTGTCCCTCTCCCCCTCTACAGCATCCTAGATTCTCTCAACCTCAAGGTCATATTCTGAGTGAGAATGACATTTCAAAGGAGTTAATTGGTGGTAAAAACATTGTTAGCAAGACTATTGATAAAGCAAACTATGATCAATCTCTTTTTGATTGTTTGAAATATTGAATTCTAAAGATGCAATCAAAAATGAATTGACAAGAAAGTGTTATCACTTCTGATTATGAGAAATTATGGAAATTTACTGATACTTTTTCTCATCACATTGGGCAAAAATAATTTAGAATAATGGTTTTAAATATTCAGCTTTCTGAAGATTAGTAAAATTTATATTTATTAATTGAAAGGATATTCCTGAATATGATTACATTCATATCACCGTTAGAAAATAAACTGATATTTTTTTAATCTCACTTCAGTATGAAACAATCCTGTCTTTTAAAAATGGTTACCATGCTAATATACTTAACTTCTGAATTTAACTTTACTTCTGAATTTAATGGAATTGCAAAATGGATTTACAGAAAATCTTCAAACTGGTGTCAAGATATGAAAATATGCTAATATGCAGTCACTGGACTAAGGTAAATTTTATTATAGCATTTAAAAATATTAAATGTTTCATATACAATGAAATCACAAATCTGGATGGAGTTTAAAAATGTACAGGGTATGATGTCAAAACAAACAAAGTAGCACAAAACTCTTCAGTAGTATTTCCTATTAATAAGTCAGACTTTGCATTTATGAAAATTACATCCTTTCCTATCTTTTCTCTTCCTTTCTCCTCCAGCATCTCATGGTACAAGTTCAAGAAGAATCAATCTGAATGTAAGGCAGTGGAAATGGGCAAGAGATTGTTATAGCTAACGTATCTTAAAATCCTCCAAAAGCTGACATTTCCTCAATTTCAAGTGGTTTTTAGAGTTGCAAGTTAGCTTTATGAATTGCATTGGAAAATTAGATAAAAAGTGTTAGTGGAAATTATCCCAGATTTCTTTCGTAGCCATTCAATAGTATTATAATAGCGACAATTCAGGGGTAGTTTCTAAAACAAGTTGTTATGGTCAAAAGTAAATGGCACAGCCATTTCAGTAAAAAAAAAAAAAAATCTAATTATTTGGTTTTGCACATAATCTTAGGCTTGTTCTCTTAACTTGATGCAAAATGAAACATATGAGAAATACTTCCATAGGTTGATGTAAAGAAAAAGAATAATTTAGAAAAAAAACACAAACCGAAACAATTTTAAAAAAAGAAGTTAAAATTTAACTGTGTCTTTTCTCCAACCACTGAAAGTCATTTTAAGCAAATAATGCATTAGGGATTGAATTGTCACATGAAATTTTTTTCATCAGTAAGGACTTGTTTGTTCCAATATATGTGGTATAGAGAATAAAAATAAGAGTGACATGAAAAATGTATATTGTAGTCTACTGTTCTAGTACATTTTCAACATGTAGTAGTTGAGTGTTTATTTCCCTTTCATACTTGTTTTGTGGTGAAACTAGAAGCTGTATATACCTCCAGTTTAAAAAAAGCCAGCAAAATAAACCCTAAATTAAAGAGAACAATCCAACTGAAACCAAAACCCCCAAACCAATACATTTTTTACTCTCTCTGCAGAGGACAGACTGCAATCTGGTCATAAAAGATGCAGCAGAACAGAGTGACTTCAACAGCTAAAAAGAATTGCTTTAAATGAGATGAATTATTTTCATTTTAAGAACTCTGTTGGAAGCTAAAACAATAGACTCAGTAGCTCAGTAGCAAAACTAATTAAAATGAGTGTCATCTACGGAGACTTTTTATTCAGAGATGAAGGTTATTTTCCTCTCTCCCAGTTCAGCTGCACCAGTGGGGCGGACGAGCTGGCACTGGTGTCCACGGCTGTTGCCAGGCTGTGCCCACTGCTGTGGATGGTGGGAAACAGCCACCACGAGCTCCAGCAGCTGCTGTGGCAGACCCTGCTGCTCATTACTTGGAAATATTGCAGTTCTACCCAAGTAGATGGGCATTCCTATCCAGAACCAAGGCAAATACTGTGGCCTTAGAAAATCTGTCTTCTAAAATCAGCTGCATTTCCAAGAAGAATTGCATTTTCAACTGTCTTTATTCTTTAGGTAAGTGGATTCTCTTGATGATTTCCATGTCTGAACTGAAATACATGGGTGGATATATTCTTTTTTCACAGTTTGATTTTTCAGTACAAACAAGGTGAGTTATTTCACTATTGAATTGTTGCAATTTTTGCCAGTCTCTCATTATGGACTGAAGTTAATAGTAGTGAATTATTTCCAATTATCCTGGATATGAGGGAGGTTCCTTTGTTTAAGTATAAAACAGAAAAAAACATGGGTAAGAAAGAAAGCATATGTATTTTAAAGCCCATGGTTAATCTCAGCTTTAGCTTCACTTTAGCTGTCCAAACATTAGAGTTTATTTAATTTAGTTTTTATTTCAAATTAAAGGAGAGAACCTCTAGGCACTTCCAAAAGATACATACAAAACACACACACACACACACACACACACACACACACACACACAGACAGACACACATATATATCTATAAGTATACCTGCAATGGAATGATTCATCCTCTGGAATTACCTTTTTTTATCACTTGTTAATACATAAATAATAAACTACAAGCTTAAACCAAATTTTGGACAGCCAGATGGTGAGATAAATTCCATGCTCTGAGTAAGAATATTAGCAGATATGCACTACTATATGAATAGCCACTCTAGCTTTAAATCGTTTTCTGTCAAGACTGCTAGATTGCTTTATATTTCCTTTGTGTTAGCTTAAACAGTTTTTATTAAAATGGGTAAGAAACATAAATAAACTACTATGATTTTTTTTCTTTTCATAGTACATGTAGCATCTTCAGTTTTCAATACAGGTTGTCATGGATTATTCCTTCCTAAAATAAATTATTTAACCATACCTTGATTTTGAAACATGAAAATTTGACTCTAGGAGGTAGGATGATAATAAATATACCAGCATTGAAGAGGAAATCAGGGTAATAAAAAGTTATCAACTAATGTGAATACAGTGACTCCAAACTGTTCATTGCAATAAAGACATCCCTACTTTGTGTGATAAACCTTAAGAAGTTGTCTTGTTTATGCAACTGGAAATTCAATGTTCCCTGAATGCAGAAAATATAAGTCAGTGACAAGGGATTCCCTTTTGCTAGCCTCTCTGAACATTTATTTTAAATAAACTGGATACCAAAAAAGACTATTGGGACTAAAAAATTGATTAAAAATTTATGAACAAGCAAATTAAACTTAAGATTAATTTTAGTACTAAAACTTGTATGCTAAACTGGAGAGTGGTATGGAGTGACCTTGGCCCTACACCAAATTGTGTGGGCTGACTTATAGTCCTCCTGTTTATGTCCAGATACCTTTTTAGAGAAATGGTTGAATTCAAAACATAAAAATTGTACTGGGGCTTTCTTTGTGACCTCCACATAAAATTTAAGTGGTTTAGATATATTTTCCTCTGCTCGAATGATTTGAAACAATGTTAACTCCAGGTTAAAGTTTTTATAGTGTGAAAGCATAGTGCCTGTAGTGTGCTCTGTGGAATGTCAGGAAAACAGGTCGAGCGTTGGTATGCATTAACTCTTGAGCTGGAGGGAGGCAAGCCTGGCTCAGACTTGTGCTCTTTGAGATTGCTCTTTGGGATTGATTCATGCTGAAAATCTCCCGAGAAATATTCATGTTTCATCACTGAGTGCAACAAATCTGTAGTATGAACAGTCAAAAGTGCAAGTTAATAATTGCCTTTTTGTCTTCAACTAAGCATACTTAGTGCAGTTCTCCTAAAAGTTAAAAAACCCCAAACATTTTCCATTGAAATTTGAGATTTTTTTTTTCCATTTAGTGCTTTTTTAGTCTAAAATGTCTGCTACACCACAAATGCTTCTTGTGACACCACATTCCAGGAAAGGATCGTCAGGCTTCAGCTAGTTCAACTTCTGTTCCTCTAAGGAAAGACAAGGCACAGAGCCATTCATGGCATTTCCATCTTACTCAGTTCTCAGCCTGAATGTGTGTGCGATACCAAGCAATATCCAGGACATCTTCATGGAGCTGGCAGGTAGGCCACACATCTGTGTATAAATCTACACTTCAGACCATAAATGATCCCGCATGTCTCACACACCATTAGGTGTTTATGTTTAGGTGACAGGTTCAAGTATTATTTCAGATTAAGATTTAGGTTTTGCTTTCTACTGAGTTATGTCAGCCTCCAGCTTCCATCATCAACAGACTGTAGTTAGGGACAGTACCAAGCCTATGAACTACGGTGGGGGTTCAGATGTGTAGCATACAAGGCTGACATGTTACCCAGCCGTCAAAATTTAAAGGTCTTAATAAATGACTCAGGGAATATTTGACACTGGAATCACTGTACTGGCAAGATTGAAGATGCAAATATCTTCTGATAAATTATTTGTCCTAGTAAATCAGAATTAGCAAAAATGTTAAATGTAATGCTGCTCTGCCAGACAGATGGGTTAAGACTGCTGGTTAAGACTGCTGATGTAATACTCAATCCAAGGCAAAGTGTTTTTTATCTACTTTGGTATTTAATAAGATACAAATGTGCCAGAGTTTCCACCAGATTATTAAATTCTAGTAGAGTATTCTATAAAAAGTACCTCCATGAAATTTCAAATATTGTATTCAGAAAAATTGCCACAAATACTTTAAACTGTTTACTTATCCATTAGGCAACTGGATTTCTCTCCCCATAAAAAGAGAATCTAACACCATTCTGCAATCACATTTTTAAATACTTCAGATCAGGAAAGAGCAGTGGAAAGACAATTCTGTAGGTTATGACTACAGTCAGACTAATATAATCAAAACATACTGCTTCAAAGATCAAAATATTCTTCAATACAGAAGACAAGTTGAGAACATGTAAGTGGGACATTTGTCAAAGATAAATCATTCTGACTGTCTGTGACAGGGTTTATTTGATACAGATATCAATTATATGACTTGTATATCACACCCACTAAAACATTAAAATAATGTGTAGCTATCAGATTTCATTAACTCCTACAAGATTTTGGATTAGTGTGCAGAGATCAGACTCCCAGCACTGTGCCTCTGGGCACATTTGCTCTTCCCTGGCCAATTACATCTGCCCCAAAAGATTTTTTTTTTCCTTCTTAAATAAGTTCTCACAGGGTCACTACTATGATTCCTGATGGGCCCAGCCTTGACCAGTGGTGGGTCCATCCTGGAGCCAGCTGACCTTGGCTTTCTTGGACATGGGGAAGCTTCTGGCAGCTTCTCACAGAAACAACCCCTGTAGCCCACCCACTACCAAAACCAGGCTCCTAACACAAGAAAGACCTTTTGGAAATAGTCCTGAGAGCTGAATCACTTATGGAGGCTGAGAGAATTGAGGCTGTTCCACCTGGAGAAGACAAAGTTTCAAGGAGAACTCTTTTTTGTCTTTCAGTTCCCAAACGGGAATGACAAGGAAGACAGGCACTTTTTACAAGGGTGTGCAGTGGCAGTACAAGGGACACTGGCTTTAAACCGAAAGACAATAGCTTTAGATTAGATGTTAGGAAGAAATTCTGAGGTTGGTGAGACGCTGGAATAGGTTGCTTAGAAAGGCTGGGACTCCCCATCCCTGGAGGTGTTCAAGACTAGACTGGATTGGGCTCTGAGTAACTTGGTTTAGTGTAGGGTGTCCCTGCCCATGACAAGGGAGTTGGAACTGTATGATCATTAAGGTCCCTCTCAACCCAAACCATTCTATGATTTTATGATTACTTAAACACACAAATAACTCAGAAATTAGGACACAAGGCAGAAATTTAGCACAGGCCATTTTGTATTCTGCTGTTCGAGCATTCTGAATAAGAAGTATGGGATGATTAGCTTTTGTCAGCCCTGGCTTAATTTACCAAGTTATGTGAAGAATTAAATATTAAGAAAGGAACATAAAATTTACTGTTGAATTCCCTAAGCTGAATAATCACATGCATGAAAGGTTAAAGATTTATTTTTTTTTTTTGCTTGGAAAGTAGAACAGAGAACTGTGAAAAAATTTGTGATCTACATAAGTGGTGTGGGGAATAATTTTTTTTTTCAGAATGCAAATTCTTTCACATGTATACAGATGATGTAACAGCTGAAAGTGATCAATCAAAAGGGACTTCAGGTTCCTGAGAATAGTATGAAAAAATTTGGGAGCATAGGTAATTGAAGAGGTTGGCTTCAATCCTCGGAGAAATGGGGGGAAGAAGAAGGTGAGACTATTATACCATTATCTGGTGGTAAACTGGACTGGTGTCTGTGCTAAAATTTTGGATTTCTAAACCACAGAAGAGCCTTCAAGAAACAAAACATGTTGGGGCTTTATGGGATCCCTCTGACCTGATGAGGAAAATGAGTCTATGGAATCTAGGTTTATTGGAGTATTGGGCAATGATTAATGGGATGAAATTTAAAAGTCAAAATGCTGGGTACTGCACCTGGGAAGGAGTAATGCCCAGCACAAGTTTATTTTGGGACGAGAGTGGCTGGAGAGCAGCCCTACAGAAAGGGATGTGGGAGTGTAGTCTCAGAGAAGGCAAATCCCATCCTGGCATGCATCAAACTCAGCATCCCCAGCCAGGCAGAAGAGGAGATCATATTCACTGCTATATTCAGTGTTGGTACAGCCTCACCTTGAGTGCTCTGTGCACTTCTGGGCCCTACAGTTTCAGAAGGATGTGAGGGTCCTTGAACATGTCCAGAGGAGGTCAGCAAAGCAGGTCACAGGGCTGGAAGGAATGTCCTATGAGGAGAAGCTGATGACTGTGGATTTATCTAGTTATGAGAAAAGAAGGCTAGGGGATGACCTTACGGCTTCCTGAGGAGGGTATGTGGAGTGAGAAGTGCCGGTCTTTTCTCTGTTATCCAGAGAAGTGTGGAAATGGCTCAAAACTTCACCAGGGGAGACTTAATCTGGACATTAGGAAGCATTTTTTTACTGGGATTGACTGAGATGGTCAAATACTGGAACAGACTTCCTAGAGAGGTGAACAATGTCCCAAACCTGTCAGTCTTTAAAGTCATTTGAGGTATACCTT